TGGCAAGCAGGCTGGGAGACTTTTTTTTTTTTTTGGAATTCACCATTATTTAAGTTAGCACATCAATAAAGAAGCCCCGGCACCTCACAGTGGCATTTTCAGAAGAGACCATAGCCAATTCTTAATAAAAAACATCTCAAGTAGTGACAGCTTAGAGAAGTGCTCACTACATTGCCCTTGCATCATTTTCATGGTACATTTATTATTCTCATTTACAGATGCTTTTGGCAGAAGAGTTCTTCAGGCTGTTGCTGAAAAAAAAATGCAGTTTGTCACTTTTTTTTTTTTTTTTTTTTGTAAACTTGAACCAGGAATTGATAGCATAGGCAATTACCAACATGAACTACCAGAGATAATGTGTTCTGCTCAAGTACTTATGTCAGTGGCTTGCCAGTCCTTTTCCCCCTAAAATATTTGTAAAAACATTGGAAATATCTAAGAAATGTATAAAAAGTTCCTTAAACATCTGCTTAATGCACCTTTCCTTCAAATAAAAAAGGGCTCTGCAGTTCAGTTTTTTTTCTGTGAATGTGAAAGAGAAGCTATGGGAGAGGTAAAGGATAACGGGTATCTTTCAATGGCTATGCTGGAAAATCTAAATGACTACTACTCTAAAGGTTAAATACAGAGTTTCCATAACCAATCACAAGGAACGAAAAAAAAAAAAAAGAATAAAGAAACATAGCTGACTTCTAGAAAAATCCGTATCAGGTCAAGTGACATTAAGAATCAGAAAATCATTAGGGTTGGAAGGGACCTCTAGAGATCATCTAGTCCAACCTTGTAAATGTTATACAGAAGATAATACACACAAAGATTGTAACACGGTTGTATTTTCCCTTAAAAGCCACTGTCAGTAGGGTCATGGACTTACTATACAGACGCGTGACTTCAGTATCTTTAATTGATAAAGGGGAAAAATTAGGTTACAAAAGAAAAATGTATCGAGTATGCTCTTCACGTCTATACTATGATTTTAAATAACGGCCTTAAACATTTTCCTACTCCACTTTCAACCTCAATGGAGTAGCACTGTTAGCAAACAAACCCTGGAGGGACAGTTCTAAGCTAGGTGGTTGGGCTATGCTAAAAGGACAACTGTCTTATAAAGGAGATTAAGTTCAGATGTTTAGATACTGCAACAAGAACAGAAAGTTAGAAGCCTTAAACAGCGACTTGTATTTAGCTATCATTACCTTTTAGAGAGCATTAGCCTACACTCCAGTATTTTACATGGTCATTGCATTAAAGGAAAGTTCTACCACACCTAAAGGATAAGGCATAGCCATCTACTAATTGGCATATTTGTTTATTTGTCTCAGTTGGTGAAAAGGTCCTTATTTGTGAAAGCAGCAAAACAAATTTCAACTGAATGATTGCTATATGCAAAAGGACTGAAGGCAATTGCCTCTGCAGTGAACTTTACAGTTCTCAACAGCACACACGCAACATGCTATCTGAAAAAAAGTAACTAACTGAACTACTGGTATTAAATACTGAAAAAAAGTTTACATTTTTATTATAATTTATTTTATTTAACAATCTAAGAAGTTTGCAGCCATCAGAAGTTCCAGTGCAATTTCAGGTGCAATTGGGAATTCAGGAATCTCCGTAGAGCTGTTAGTATAGCGGACCTTGTAGGTGAAATACATGCATACTTTGGATAGGACATGGGATGGGATCTCTCTGAAATTCACCTCATTCGTTTCGTTTTC